TACTTGCTCAACCATTGCAATTTTTTGGTCTATTTATATAATTTATTAGACTACTCAATCAATGCACTATTTGGCCATAAAATAGTCTATTTTATGAAAAATTACATCATAGTGCAAATAGGGATGTTAAACAGTCCCAAAAGACCAGCGGACTGATGGTCTGTCCTTGGACTGGACTAGTCTTTTCTCAAAAAAGACCAACTGGTAGTCTTGCAGTCTTTATCATGTGAAAATGGTCCTAAAACGGTCTTTTTTATTACCATCCATCTTTTAAAAAAAAAAAAAAAATTATACACTCTCTTTATTGAAAATTTATGATTTTACAACTTGTAATTTTTTTCCCTTTACTTCCAAATTTATGTTAACATTAATTTACTATTAATAATTACAAAAAATATTGAATTAAAAAAATCATTATATATAATTAATATATATATTTTTCAAAAAAATTTTTTAATTCTTATTATATAATATATATATATATATATATATATTTTTTTTTCAAAAAAAATTTTAAATTCTTATTATATATATAATATATATATATTTTTTAATAATATATTTTATTATATATATATTTCAAAAAAATTAAGAATTATTATTATATGTGAATTTTTTCATTAAGGCATTTTTTATGATTTATCATTAAGTTTATGTTTAAGAATATTAATTAGAACATTTAAATTTTATTATGAGTGGGAATAATCAATTTATAGATTTTACTGTAGGTGATGAAAATAATAATAATGATATTAATGAACAAAATAATGGCATTGATGACTTGACAGAATCATCAACATTATCAAGTGGATCTGGTCCCTCGACAAATATTAATAACATTAATGGTACATCAGATGTTTGGATTTTCTTTAATAAAATTAACAATGGCAAGGCTCAATGTAAAACATGCAAAAGCATCTTTAGTAATAAGTCATCCACAACAACTTTGAGACGACATATTACAAACTTACATACAGGTTATTATGAAAAAATGAAACAGACCACTTTGAAACTTAATTGAGTTATACCATATTCAACAACTTCTCAAGAATATAAACTAATTACTGATAAACTGGTTAATTGGATTGCCAGTCTGTCCTTGGACTGGACTAGTCTTTTCTCAAAAAAGACCAACTGGTAGTCTTGCAGTCTTTATCATGTGAAAATGGTCCTAAAACGGTCTTTTTTCAAATAGGGACTGAAGTTTAAACCGGTCCGTCTTGGTCCGGTCTTGGACCATTTCTATAGTGAAATTGTTACACTAGATTGATATGTTATTGGTCCTAAAACAGTCTTTTTTCAAATAGGGACTGAAGTTTAAACCAGTCCGTCTTGGACCGGTCTTGGACCATTTCTATAGTGAAATTGTTACACTAGATTGATATGTTATCAGTCCTAAAATGGTCTTTTTTATAACCATCTTTAAAAAAAAAAAAAAAAAATTATACACTCTCTTTATTGAAAATTTATGATTTTACGACTTGTAATTTTTTTCCCTTTACTTCCAAATTTATGTTAACATTAATTTACTATTAATAATTACAAAAAATATTGAATTAAAAAAATCATTATATATAATTAATATATATATTTTTCAAAAAAAATTTTTAATTCTTATTATATAATATATATATATTTCAAAAAAATTAAGAATTATTATTATATGTGAATTTTTTCATTGAGGCATTTTTTATGATTTATCATTAAGTTTATGTTTAAGAATATTAATTAGAACATTTAAATTTTATTATGAGTGGGAATAATCAATTTATAGATTTGACTGTAGGTGATGAAAATAATAATAATGATATTAATGAACAAAATAATGGCATTGATGACTTGACAGAATCATCAACATTATCAAGTGGATCTGGTCCCTCGACAAATATTAATAACATTAATGGTACATCAGATGTTTGGATTTTCTTTAATAAAATTAACAATGGCAAGGCTCAATGTAAAACATGCAAAAGCATCTTTAGTAATAAGTCATCCACAACAACTTTGAGACGACATATTACAAACTTACATACAGGTTATTATGAAAAAATGAAACAGACCACTTTGAAACTTAATCGAGTTATACCATATTCAACAACTTCTCAAGAATATAAACTAATTACTGATAAACTGGTTAATTGGATTGCCATGGATACCTTACCATTTACTATTGTAGAAAGTCCAGCATTTCATGAATTTATATCATCTTTGAATGAAAAGTATGCTATTTCTTCTCGATTAAGTGTCAAAAATATTATTGTCACAAAATTTAATAGGGCCAGAATTCAAATAAAACAACAATTTGAAAAATTTGACTCAAAAGTTTCTTTTACCACCGACATTTGGAGCAATTTATCCAATGAGGCATTTATTGGTATAACTGTTCATTATATAGACAATAATTGGAATATGAGAAACTTTGTTTTAGATATTATCCAAATACAAGAGCAACATACTGGGATAAATATTGCTAATAAGATATTAGATATTATTGAAGAGTTTAATTTATGTACTAAAACATTAGCAATAACCAGTGACAATGCCTCCAATATGATTAAAGGTTGCAAAGATTTTGGAGAAATTTTGGAAGACACTTTTTATAATTATAATTTTATTCATCAGCGTTGCGCTGCACATGTTATCAATATAGCAGTTAAACATGGGATGGAGTTAATTTTTTATGAATTATCAAAGCTTAAAAATTACGTAAAAAAAGTCAAAAATTCTGTTTTGTTATGTGATGAATTAAGAAAAATATCTCAAGCTAAAAATGTGAAGTATTTGGCTCCTATTTTAGACTGTCCTACATGTTGGAATTTGACCTATCTTATGCTGGAAAGACAAATAGAAACAAAGGAAATCAACCAACGACTTGTCAGGAACAATCCTAGTAGTATTGAATTAGAATATTTGACTGAAAATGATTGGAAACAAATTGATGACTTGTGTGTTATTTTAAAACCATTATACATTGCAACCAAATTTTTATCATCAAGTTCACCCACTTTAAGTGATGTGCGCATTACTTTTACTGCATTAATTAAAGAATTGAAAAAGGTAATTGATGGCAACAATGAACATTATTTAATTGCAGATTCAGTTAATCATAAATTAAAAGAATATTGGAGTCTCATGGAAAATAACACACGAATCAGTTCTGTAATTGATCCAAGAAATAAATTATCTGGTTTTACACTACAAGAAATTGAAGAATTAAAAAATGAATTTAAAAATCTTATAGATACATATGAACCACTGAATCAACAATTGTCTAATCAAAATTCACAACAAAATCCTAATCCAAATAGCCGTTCTTATTTTCTCTCCATGATTTCTTTACCTAATAACAATGATAATAGTAATCATCACACACAATCATCAACACAAGATAAACTTGAACATTATTTACAACTACCAATTGTTACCAACAAAAACATTGATCCATTAAATTGGTGGAAAACACATCAAACAGAATTTCCAATGTTAGCAAGGATTGCCAAAGATTATCTCACTGTTCAGGCCACCTCTGTGCCTTGTGAACAATTATTTTCACTTGCTAATCACACTATTCGTAAAACAAGATCAAGGCTTCACCCACAAACTGCAAGAGCTGCTATATGTCTAAAAAGTTGGTTATCCTATTTTTCAGAAATGGATAATGATAAAATTATTTTAGATGTTGTTGAAGAAACATCTACACCTGATGATAATATAGAAGGTGATGAAGAGTTAAATTGGGTTGGGTTAATTGATGAATAATATGTATTTTATTTTTAATATAGTTAAAATTAAAATTAAAATTAAAATTTTTAAAAGTTTTTCAATAAAAAAATTATGATTTGTTTGAATTAATAAAGACTGCAGTCTGGACTGAACCGTTGGTCTTTTTCGGACCATTTTCAAAACTGACAGTTTGGTCTGACTTTAAATAAGACTGACATGGACCAGACTGGACCAGACTGGACGGACCATTTAACATCCCTATAGTTGAGAGGATAGCATCTCCCTTTTTCTGCTATATGTTTTTTGTAATTCATCTTTCCCACAGCAACTAGACCTCGGAATGAGAATAAGCGTTGGGTTTTTGTTTATCATTAATAACAATTTTATAATCCAATAAATCAACTTTTTTTGAAAACGAATTAAAAAATTAACCAAGCTTGAATTTTATTTGTTTCATGTAATTTTTAATGAATACACAAAAGTTCTTATTTTAATGATTATTTTTTAAAAATGGAAGCAGGCAATAGTAAAAGCCAAATCGGAGTATTCTTGGAATACCCAAGACTACAATCCATGAACTATTTGTCCATTCTAGAACCACAAACACATCAAATCGTACGCTTCAACAATTTTAATTAATAAAAATTATCCACAGCACATAGTGCCTTAACTAACACCACCAAAGTTGGCCAAAATACAATTCGAAATATTAAACGATACACAAAAAGAAAGTCGGCGCAGTTTCAATAATAATGATGATGAAAATTTCTGGTACGTTGTTCCTATTACTATAAAAAGCCTTTCTCGGAATCTTCCTATAAAAGAGCGCCTTTCCGTACATTTTTATACAGAGAATGGAAATCACCCTGAAAACACGGAAAATATAAATTCCGTTGTTTCAATGTTAATATTACTAATATTAATATTAATATAGAATGCATATTAATATGGAATTTATATTTTCTGTGTTTTTTCGTATAAAAATGTGCGGAAATGCGCTCTTTACAGGAAGATTCCGTACAGTTTCTATTGA